GGAGGTGGAGAACAGGGAGATAGAAGTCGTGGCATCTTTGCCGGTCGCCTATCATGAGGTGATGGTGGAGAAGAGGCTCGATGATGTGACGGGATAGGTGATGGCTCTCGTTGTAGAGGTGTATAGTCGGGTCGATCAGGTGATGGCTCTGGGTGAGGTGATGGCTCTCGAAGTGGAGGAAGTGGAGGCTGCTCATCATTCGTGCCATCAAGAAAACGCTGACTAGCTTGCCACCAATCAGTGGCAAGCTCAGCCTCCGTGGGTGTCAGTCTCATTAATGGAATGTTGGCCTCCTAAAAATATAAAAACTCAAACAAAGTTAAACGTCTACTATTAATAACTTGTTTATATATGATAGTATTTGTGTTAACTTACATTATTTATTTTCGCATATGGTATTAAGTCTTCTCAATCCAACAGACGTTTCCTCTTCCAGGAAATAGCCCTGGGAATATCATTTGAAGTTTTTATTGCATATGTCTTCATGGCGGGAAAGGCCTCGAATATCCAAATCTACAAACAATATAATAACAAACATTAGTAATTGTTAAATAATTAATTATAATTTTGAAAACATTATATAGAAATTCTTACCTTAAAGGCCCAAACAAAGCCTGACAAAGTGTATTTCGACCCATCGCCCCGCAAACTTTTGCGGTCATCAAAGGCATACGACAACTTAGTCCAGGTAGCTTTCCATATTTACGAACCCCACGGAAACAGATTCCATGCATTTAGGTCCTCTACCAATAATATTAGCTCCTGAGAAAATAGGTTGTCTGGCCTCTCTGCCTAAAAAGTCAGTATACAAAAGTAGTAGAAGGCATACTCGGACAACATCGACGTCATTCATCCGAGTAAAACCATCTTTCTTATTAAACAATTTCTTCATGTCGTCGACGTGTAAGTTCGGCTTCTCTATTGACTCATCAGAAAAAACCCTGGATAACCATGATGGGCGGGTGATATGACGAGTGTACCGGCCTATATCATCGTGTCCGAATCGTAGACCAGTGATTAAGCAGAACTCATTCCGCCCAAAACAAGTATACGCCGGTGGAAAATGAAACCATATCTCTTCCTCACCACGTTGTATACTGTCGGGTAGATCGCTAGTCATGGTCTGAAGCCACAAATGGGTCAAATTAGCATCTCCACCTGGATGATGTACTCTCAGCCATGGCCCGAAGCAGGTTTCCTCAAACAATTTTCTTTGTGCAGGTGAAAGCTTCAAAGCAATTGTAGTGGCTAGGCTAACTTTATTCCTTAATGTCAATGAAGCCGAAAAAAATTTCTACAAAACAATAAACATACCAAGTTAGATATATCAAAAACTACACTGTCAAGATATACCAAAAACAATAAATATAAATAGTAATTTATTCTTGAAACTAAAATTTGCAACACTGTTTTGTCTTTTGGTTGAAATGAAAATCGCAACGAGATAATGAGAATCGCAACGCGGAAATGACTATCGCAACGAGAGAATCGCAACACGAAATGAAAATCGCAACGCGAAATGAAAATCGCAATGCGATTTTGGTTTTGCGTTGCGATTTTTATTTCGCGTTGCGATAGTTATTTCCGCGTTGCGATTTTCATTCTCGAAACTATTCTTCTTCTGCATTACTTCAACCAAAAGACAAAACAAAGACAAATACTAACTTCACAAGCTAAACAGTTTAGCAGTATTGGCAGCAATCAAATGAATTTAATAAGAAATCTAAGTGAAATGGTTAATCTATTATTGAAATTACCAGTAAACTTATCATCAATCTCAATATGAAAAACCTAAAATAATGCAAAAATTTCAAAATAAAAATAAAAAAAACTAACCCTCGGAGGTTGATTTTCCATTTCTGAATGATTGTGAGGGATTTTTGACTGTGAATGGTTGTGAGGGATTTCGCCGGCGATGGGGACGGAAATCTTCGGAGATGGGGACGGATTTCGCCGTAACAGTGAGAGATGGAGATGGGACTGAGTGTTGTGATTTTGGGTTTGAGGTTATGAGTTGCGATTACTGTGGACGGTTCAGTTTCCGATTTATTAAGAAAAATTCGTGTTTGGAATTTGAAAAAAAAATACGCGTTAATACGAATGTCGCTATGTAAATCGCATTGCGATAGTAAGATTCGCATTGCGATTTACGTATTCGCATTGCGATTTTCCTAATTCGCTTTGCGATTTACTAATTCGCGTTGCGATTTACGTATTCACATTGCGAATTATGAAAATCGCAACGCGAATACGTAAATCGCAATGCGAATTAGGAAAATCGCATTGCGATAGTCAGTATCTCATTGCGGTTTTCCAAATTCGCATTGCGATAGTCAGTATCACATTGCGATTTTCCAAATTCGCATTGCGATTTACTTATTCGCATTGCGAATTGGGAAAATCGCAACGCGAAATTGGAAAATCGCATTGCGATAGTCATAATCGCGTTGCGAATCTGGAAACTGATTTGCGATAATGGAGATCGCGTTGCGAATTAGCGATCGCATTGTGATTTTGTTGGTCATTTTGGCAAATCCGGAAAAAATTGATTAAAATCGTATATTATATGGGATTTTTAGTCACTGAGGTTGTTTTCTCCTTAAAATAAAGGTCATACTTTAAAAACATGCTATACAATCTACTCTTATTATGATTTAACAAAGAGAGTAAACAAGGTTATGAAAACCCCCAAAACCAGCAAACATAATCATACATGATTTTTCATTGTCTTAAAGGGTGCGTTTGGTTCACGGAATGTAAGATTACCTTGGAATAGGATTACTGGGAATATTGTATTTTGTGTTTGGTTGGTTTAGCAGGAATGTAAGATTACCGTGTTTGGTTAAAGGAATAAAAGATTATTGAAATGTATATTTGATAAAATTATTCTTACTATATATTTATTTTTTTAACAAGTTAGAAAATATTTATATATTTTCTTTAAAAAATGTAAATTCATAAAATTTATATATATATATATTTTTTACAAAATTGAAAATATAAAAAGGTTTAATGAAAGGGTAAAATTTTATTTGAACCCCTGAACTTCATATAAAATTGTAATTATAGATTTTTTTTTGTAAATCTAAAATATTTTAAGGATAAATTTGTAATTTAACATTCGTAGAATTTTTATTATTCAATGACAAAAGAATGATATTTTTGAAAGAAATTTTTTTTAAAGGTATTTTAGTCCAAAACACCGGTAATCCAACAATATCTAAGGAAATGGAGGTAATGACATTCCTGGTAATATACCCCAAAAAATCTACTATTGGTAATAAAATATTACCGAGAATGAGATTCCCGGCAAACCAAACATGGGAATGTAGATTTCATTCCCATAGAAATATCACATTCCTTTATCCAAAAACCCTCTAAGTGCCTATTGTGAAACGATATTCTGCATCCTCAACTTCTCAAATCATATTCTCGATAGAACACGTATTAAAAAAGTAAATGTCATGTGTTACTTTTTAAATCGAGACTCTTAAAATATTTTATAATAAGATAAAATATTAAAATTTATTATATTATAATTAAATTTTACAAAAAAAATAAAAAATCGAATTTTTATTAATTGAGTTTTGATTGCTAATGTTTCGAACTAGACAACCAGTTGACTTTAAGCTTTATTCTAATTCTCATCCATCCAATATCGTTTCAGTAAGCTTAATCACGCAACATGCTGCTATAATTGCTGACAAAAGATGCTATAATTGCTGACAAAAGAAATACACTGTCAAAGTTGTTTATCGTATCTAAAGTTCTAAACCTTAAAACCCGACGTAATTATCTACTACGATAATCTAATTTAAGATTAAAGAACGGTAAAAAAAATGGGCATAGTCGAAAATATTATAAAATTCATAATATTTTAGGTTGAAAGTAATTTAAAATGTTAATTTTTTAACATTTTTATTTGAATTAAAAATATTATGAGAAAGGTTTTTCAATCGAAAAATATTAAAAAAAATAAACATTTTTGATTTCGTCCAATCTAAAATATTATAAATTTTATAATATTTTCAACCGTACTTTTTTCTACTTTAAATTAATCTGTCTTTCCTTAGAGTCTTCTCAGAACGTCTGGAAAATTACATTATACTTCATCCCATAAATAACCTAAGGGGATGTTTAGTTCAAGGACTGTGGGATTCACATGGGATGGGAATCCCATATTCCCATGTTTGGTTGGCCGGGAATCTCATTCCCGGTAATGTTTTATTACCAATAGTAGATTTTTGGGATATATTACCGGGAATGTCATTACCTCCCTTCCCTTAGGTATTGTAACATTACCGACGTTTTGGACTAAAATGCCCTTAAATTTTTATTTTTTTCAAAAATATCCTTCTTCTGTCATTGAATAATAAAAATTCTACGAAGGTTAAATTACAAATTTATACTTAAATTATTTTAGATTTACAAAAAAAAATCTATAATTAAAATTTTATATGAAGTTCAGGGGTTAAAAAAAATTTTACCCTTTCATTAAACATTTTTTATATTTTTAATTTTGTAAAAAAAATTATATAAATATTATGAATTTAATTTTTTAAAGAAAATATAAAAATTTTACAATTTGAAATATTATACAAATATATAATAAGGACAATTTGGTCAAATATATATTCTAATAATCTTTTATTCCTTTAACCAAATACAGTAATCTTCCATTCATGCTAAACTAAACACAAAATACAACATTCTCAGTAATCTTATTCCCTGATAATCTTTTATTCCCACTGATAATCTTATATTCCCTGAACCAAACACACCCTAAGATCATGTCCGGATTTAATTTTAAAAAATAGATTGTTTTTTTTAGAGCTAAAAAATTAGATTAATGTGTGTGATAGGTAGTCAATGGGATCATTTAAGAGTATAATATCAGAAGCCTTAATCTCTGCAAATGATCTTTCATACACAGATCCTTCTGTACAAATACAAATGGCCAAATAGCTTTTTTACCCTTTTTTTGTTATGCCCTTTTCACTTCCTTTTATGACCCAAGCCCCCAGCTGTTTCCTTTTTCGTGTTTGAATTTCATCACCATCATCATCAAGAAGCAAGCTTTCTCATGAAACTAAATGAATCAAGCAATGGAAGAAACAGGAGAGCACCATGGCAGCAAGAAATACAATACCAAATCCGGGGCTTTCAAAGGCTTGATAAACAACCCTCATGGGCATCCATTGCTGCAATACTCAACTGATCCCTTCCATGGCTACTCTTACTATCCTGCTCCTTTGCCTCCTCCAATACCTTTGCAGCTTGCTTTAATCCCACCTCTCTTTCAAAACCAAACCTTTCGGACAAAACCCCATTTGCTGAAGGATCTTTCATGTGAGGCTAATGGTCTTCCTATTGCCACCTCCTCTATTTCTGATACACAATTACCAGTTCTAACAATGGCACCACCAGGTGACTCTAAAGATTTTGAAAAAAATGGATATTTTTTGGCCTTCCCATTTAAAGTTCGATGCAAAAATGAATACTTTATAGCTGGAAATGATATTATATTTGAATTTCTTGGAAGCTTCTTTAGATATTTTTTGTTTGTTTAAACTTCATGTACAAGTATTTGTATTCAAGTCCTTAACTTGTCTATTTTAATAAATTTCAGCAGCTCCAGAGGGGATTCAATGGAGGAAAAATTTGCCATCTAAAGCAAGTGATGGAAGAAAGTTGAGTACTAGTACTAAAAAGGCAGCACTGGTGATTGTAAAGAGACCAGATTTTGGTGGTGTAGAAGGGCCAGTCATTTCTCTCCTTGCCAACCATTTCCTTGTAAAATTTGATCCTTCTCTGAAAATTTACCATTACAATGTTGAGATATCTCCAAATCCTTCCAAGGATGTTGCTAGAATGATCAAAGAGAAACTGGTGGAAACCAACTCTGGTTTGTTTTCTGGTGCTCGTCCAGCATATGACGGTAGAAAGAATTTATATAGTCCTATTGAATTCGAAAGTGATAAGCTCGAGTTCTTTGTTAGTCTTCCGATTCCCACTGTGAATTCGGGTTTGCCTCTCGGGGAAACGAACGGCTTCGAACGGAACCGGAATCAGCTCAAAGTGTTTCGAGTTAATATCAGGCATGTCTCCAGGTTTGATGGAAAGGATTTGAGTAGCTACATAAGCAATGAATGTGACGATTGGATCCCACTCCCTCAAGATTATCTACATGCTTTGGACGTTGTTCTTAGGGAGAGTCCAATGGAGAAGTGTATATCTGTAGGTAGATCGTTTTATTCGAGTTCGATGGCAGGTACTAAGGAAATCGGAGGAGGAGCTATCGGATGCAGAGGTTTCTTTCAGAGTCTTCGACCGACACAACAAGGGCTCGTTCTCAATGTTGATTCCTCCATCACTGCCTTCCATGAGAGTATTGGAGTAATCCCTTACTTGCAGAAGCGTATAGACTTCCTTGGAGACCTTACTCAATGGAAAACGAGGAGCTTATCCAATGAAGAAAGGAAAGAAGTGGAGAAGGCATTGAGGAATATCCGAATTTTCGTTTGCCATAGAGAAACGGTCCAGAGATATCGAGTTTACGGCTTAACAGAAGAAGCTACCGAAAACCTTTACTTTGCAGACAGGGATGGGAAGAAATTGAAGCTTGTGAATTACTTCAAGGATCACTATAATTACTATATACAATTCCGGAATTTGCCATGCTTGCAGATCAGTAGGAGCAAACCATGCTATCTTCCAATGGAGCTTTGTATGATTTGTGAAGGCCAGAAATTTCTTGGGATGCTTTCTGATGATCAGACTGCAAGGATTCTTAAGATGGGTTCTCAGACACCGAAAGAACGAAAAGCCATGATCGAACGAATCGTGAAGGGACCGGCAGGGCCTACAAGGTAATGCTACAGCCTGCAGTTTGGGAAAGATTCATTAGATTTCTTCATTGTATAAGTGTTTTCTTACTGTATGCTTCTAAGCATTTTAACATTTTATTGACAGTGGCAACCAGGCTGAAGAATTCAAACTCCATGTTTCGAGAGAAATGACTCGGTTGAAGGGGAGAATTCTTCAACCTCCCAAACTTAAGCTCGGCGACGGTGGACACATAAGAGATATCATTCCTTCCCGCCGGGACCGGCAGTGGAACCTTCTCAACAGCCATGTCTTTCAGGGTACGAGGATCGAACGTTGGGCACTTATAAGTTTCGGAGGCAGCCAAGAACAAAAGTCCAACATTCCTAAATTCACAAACCAGCTATCTCAAAGGTGTGAGCAGCTTGGTATCTTCCTTAACAAAAGCACAGTTGTCAGCCCCCGGTTTGAATCAACACAGGTGCTTAACAATGTGACCCTCTTGGAATCTAAGCTCGAGAAAATCCATAGAGCTGCCTCGAACAATCTCCAACTGCTCATATGTATAATGGAGAAAAAGCACAAAGGGTATGCGGATTTGAAGCGAATAGCCGAGACAAGCGTTGGAATCGTGAGCCAGTGTTGCTTGTACCCGAACCTTGGGAGATTGAGTTCACAATTTCTGGCAAATTTAGCCCTTAAGATCAATGCCAAAGTCGGAGGTTCCACTGTTGCATTGTACAACTCATTACCTTCTCAGATTCCACGAATTTTCAGGCCAGATGAGCCTGTGATCTTCATGGGAGCCGACGTGACTCATCCTCACCCGCTCGATGATTGCAGCCCCTCAGTTGCTGCTGTGGTTGGTAGCATGAACTGGCCCGCAGCGAACAAGTATGTATCGAGAATGAGATCACAAACGCATCGGCAAGAAATCATTCAGGATCTTGCTGCAATGGCAGGGGAGCTACTCGATGATTTCTACCAAGAAGTAAACAAGCTACCCGAGAGAATAATCTTCTTTCGAGACGGTGTAAGCGAAACACAATTCTATAAGGTGCTTAAAGAGGAACTACAAGCTGTTAAAGAGGCTTGTTCAAGATTTCCGGATTATAATCCTCCCATTACTTTTTCTGTAGTTCAGAAGAGGCATCACACAAGGTTGTTCCAATCCGAAACCGATCCTTCTTCCAATCAGAACCAACCATCCGAAGAAAACATTCCTCCCGGGACCGTAGTCGATACGGTGATAACTCATCCTAGGGAATTCGATTTCTATCTCTGTAGTCATTGGGGAGTAAAGGGTACTAGCCGACCGACACATTACCACACATTGTGGGATGAAAACCAATTCACTTCGGACGAACTGCAGAAGCTGGTTTACAATCTGTGCTACACTTTTGCAAGGTGTACCAAACCAGTTTCCTTGGTGCCTCCGGCATACTACGCTCACTTGGCTGCATATAGAGGCAGACTGTACCTCGAGCGATCGGAAACCGTAGCTTTCACTAGAAATTCTAAAGCAATGTCGCGTGCAACTCCTCCGAAGGCTACACCTCTACCGAAACTAAGTGAGAATGTTAAGAAGCTCATGTTTTACTGCTAGCTTATCAGACTCCTTGCATGTGTAGTGCAGTGCATGAAAATCTACGTATATATATATAGGCCAACAATATATAAGGTTTATGTATGCATGTATGTATATGTATCATAGCAGCAAGACAAAAGGGATAAGCTCAATGATCATTTTATAATTTTTGAAAGTTTATCGACCAAAATGATTGTATTAGTAGTTCAATGACCTTTAGTATATTTTATTCTTATTTAAAAATGATTTTTGTGAAATTGTTTACATGGGAGGAAGAAACGTACAAAAAAGACAACTCATCCTTTTTATACGACTTGTTCATGTCTTTTTATAATAAAAAAAACCAATGACATAAAAAATTTCACAAAAATCATCCAACTTACTGAATATTTAATAAAAAAACCAATTAATTAACTAATTAAATAGGGGAGTTATAAAAAAAGACAATCTAATTTAAGATAAAAAAAATACGATTAAAAATGCTATAAAAAATTTTATAATATTTTTTGTAATGCCCATTTTTTGTTGTTCATAGTAGGGAGGGGTATGGGTCGGGTAGGATTTTCGGTCCACCCGGCCTGAAAATTTTAAATCTTTCACCTAACCCGAGACAAAAAACATGCCACTTCCACCCGACATGAATTTGACCCGATTATTTATATAATCCGAACTCGATCCGATCTGACCTGAAATAATATATTTATTAAAAATATTATTTTTATTCAATAAAAATATGAATTTATTTAAAAGAAAATAATATATAGATGTATATTATTATAATTATTTCTAAATATATAAAGTAAAATTATAACTTTTTTTCAATCTAATAAGATATTTTTATCCTAAATTTAAATCCGATCTGACCCAAACATAATTTAAAATAAACTCAACCCAAACCAAACCTAAAACTTTTTGAAAAGATATGATCCAATCAGATTGAATCAGGTATGAACCCGTCGGTGGGACCTCTTAGTTCATAATATAGCTAAACCATTGGGCAGAAGAGACAGAAAGGACACTGCCCTCTGAAACCGGACATGAGGAGGGTTTCTTCATGAAGAAATAATACATATGTGGGCCCCTTGTAAATCACTAGATTTCGACACGTGGACACCATATCCTTCACGTGTGAGGTTAATGAAGCATGCATTTCATCGGAACGACAATAATTCTTTTTCGATAAAATATCAATGTTATCACTCAACTTTCTTCTCATTCTTATTCTGGTCATTAAAGTTATTTTTTTTTAATTTATCCACTAAATTTTATATTAGTTTAGGTACTAAATTTTAAATTTACTCTTTTTTATCACTCCGGCGTTAAATACTTAAATCATTTTAACTATACATTTTTCTTTTAAAAATTATGAAATGGATCCAAAAATTAAAGAGTAATTTAAAAAAAAGTTAATAACCAAAATAAAGATGAAATTAAAGTTAAGGGATGAAATTTATAATGTTTAAACTTTAGAGACATCAAACAACATTGCTGGAGTCGACAAAAGTTTAGTATACTTTTTTTATCTCATTAAATATGTCTTTTTTATTTTTAAAATTGTCTCTTACGAAATATCTTATTAGAAAATCTACTAATAATAACAGATTTGTCAATTTTATCGGTCACATTTTAAAGAATTTTCGTTTCTCTTAATTAAATATACCTTCTAAAATTATATACGTGGTCAATATTAAACACAGATTATAGTTCAGTAGGAATATATTATATTTTGTAGCATAATTGAAGGTTGAAATTATAAGAAAGGCGATAATTGAGGTGAGTTGATGGTTTGATGCTCTGATAGGGTAGAGTCCTGGAGTGGAACAGTGGAATTTGATTGTGTCGGTCACTGATTCCATCCCCTTATTGCTCTGCTGATCTTACAAAACAAATCAAATAAACATAGCGGTCGTATTAACGTGTTTGATTTAAATGATAATCAGTTTGATATCGTTTAGATAAAATTTCGAGTTTTAATTTTTATATATGTAAAAAATATATATTAAAAGACTCGTTCATCAAAATTAGGTATGCAACACAAAACAAAATTAGTGGTCCCATCAATCCACCCCAAACCCTCTTTCATTTGTCCCTAAATCTTACAACATTACACCACCCTTCAGTCTTTGAATGTTCCTTCCCCCCCCCCCTAAGATTCCTGATATTCAGTAACCTATGGTTCAAATGTGCAGGTAGCATATGGTTCATATGGGCCAATAAGCCCATATTGTCTTTATTTTCACCTATGGTTCCAATGTTGCTCTCAGTGCTCAATATCTACCTCCTCGATCAATAACCCAGGCTCTATTGTTTCACTATTTATTAAGCATTTTAAAAGCAAAAACAAGGAGAGAAAATGGAGCGTGAAAGAGGTCCAACAACTTGATATGGAACCATTCAAATAAAGAAATTCTATCTTACATCAATTGGTTAATACTTAATATGCATTTATTTTGAATGAAATTATTTGTATATGAGCTTGTAGGTCACGAGAAATTTTATGCACCTGAACCCTGTATGTCTTTGGAAGAGTTGGAATATCATCTTTAGTATATCATGAGCTGCAAAACCCAAACTCATATCTTGCAAGTGGGTTTACAAGGGCCCAATGGTTCGATCGAAAGGTATAAGGCTCGCCTAGTGGCTCGAGGGATCATCTTTAGTATATCATGAGCTGCAAAACCCTTCTTGCTGGAGTTCTAATGAGAAACAATACTCTTTGTCGGTACTCCGAGTAGGCGAGTATGCTGTGTTCTCGTTAGCAACTCGATAAATATTGGTCGATGACATAACAATAGACACAATGATGTCGTTGAACGCCGCACAATCCACCGGACGCGGTTATGATGTTTCCAACGTCGATTGACATTCCCCGTCTGAGTTTTCCATAGAGTAAGATTTGCAACTGAAGTAGAAAACCGTACTCATCATGGAATCGACTAGCACCACGAACGAATACATTATTAACAGCAGAGGCCCCTCCCAGATCCTATAAGACCCATCTCCATAACTCAATGCGTTTACCCTAAGTTCAAACAACCCTTCTACAAATGCTAAACCAATTGTAGATCTAAGAAATATCAAAAGACCAACTTGAGTCTGCCCTTTGATTAGAACACCAGCCCGAAGCATCGACTGTGGTCCCGAAACTTCCTCCAACACACAGATTACAGTTCCGATATTGCAGACAACAATTGCATAGGCCAAAGCAACCGAGAATACTAACCTCATCAGTATCATCACATACACAATTAAATCAGGTGTAAAGCCAAGAACAGATAGTAGGCTACAAGCCGCAACAAGGAAAACAAACAAAGTGGTCACACAAGCAACAATAACCATACACATCCACACGTATGTGAGAACGAGCCGCCTCCAAAATTTCAGAATTATCACGAATAACTTCGAAGCATTGGCTGATTTCCTCGAATAAGTACAGTCTACACAGTAAATCACTGCGGCCTTCGATAACGAAGACAATGGGAAGCAAATTTCCGCGGAAACAGCCGACTCGGCAAACCTTTGCGACGACTGTTTGATAAAAAGCCTCAATGGGAGTCCACAGGTTTTGGCAACTGACAAAAGCCTAACAGTTAATCTCTTCACAATGGAATGATCAACTAACAAGTCACACGAGGACTGCAGATACTGGGCAAATTAACAAAGCTGCAATGATCATAAAACCTGGATTCACTTGCCAAGTTACCATTCGACTGCTGCAGGGAGATGGAAGAATTGGATTGTGTTGATAGGATTAAATGAGTTACCACGGTTCATCATTTTTAATTTCGATGGATAACTATAATTGACGATTGATCGAAACATTTTAGAACGACTTAGGTTATCATAATTCTAATAGATCACGTGAACTCATTAAAAATAATGTTAATAAGGCCCACTATGTTGAAACAATCCCATTTGACTTTTCTCCGGATCATATCTTCCATACAATATAAAGACGAAGCATCTCATTTGCTTGGCCATAATCATCTCCTCCTCCTTCAGCTATGGCAAAGCCGCCGTCAAACATCAACCTCCGGACCATCCGATCCGAAAGCAACCGCATACTCAGCGCCGACTTCCGCCACTTCAATGCTCTCGTATTCCTCTTTCTCTCCCCCATCTCTTCCACCTTAATCTACTGTCAAATCTACCCCATCAAAACCCTAATCTCTAATCTCCTTTACACCCTCACCATCTCCGTCCTCTCTCTCTTCGCCGCCGGTTCCGTCACCTACAGCGTTTTCCACAGATTTCACGGTCGACCCGTCAAGCTTTCATCCTCTGTCAAGGCAGCTTTCACTTCCTTCTTCCCCCTCCTCTCAACTTGGCTTGTAACCCAGCTTATCATTTCTGGGATCGGTTTAGTTCTTGGTTTGGCCTTTTTCTCATTATTCAAGGTAACCCAACTTCTAGGCCTCCAAGTTGATTACCCTTCATCTTATTTCACTCTCCTTTGTCTTGTTCACGTGATCATCCTCATGTTTATCGTGGTTTATCTACAAGTGAACTGGATATTTGCTTATCTCATCGTCGTGGTTGAATCAAGCTGGGGACTTGAGCCTTTGAAACGAAGTCAGATTCTGGTCAAAGGAATGAAAGGGGTTGCTTTTAAGATTGTTCTGGTTTTGAGCATCTTCTGTTGGCTTGGTGCCTGGAGCTCGATGTTAAGATGGGTTGTTTTTGCCGGTGATACATTGAAAATTTGGACATTTCTTATACAGATTGTCACCCTTCCCGCTTCCTCATACTACATGTTGTTTTCGTTTTATAATTTGGTCGTAAACTCAGTTTTCTATATGTATTCCAAGGCTCGACATGGAGAGCTTGCTCAAGAGTGTGTAAGTTTAACGACTTTTGATGATGGGAAAGTCCCTGATCGAGTCGTTTCAAACGTTTAAGCTTTGATGAACTGGAGATTTTCCAGTTTCATTTATGTTTTGTTTATTTGTTTTCTGGTTTTACTTTATGTCTGTGCAAGGACAGATGTGTGGACAAATGTAACACGAAATTGCGTCGGATTTGTAAGAAATTAATAAAATGTTAATGGAATGAGTCGTCGGAGAAGATGTCATTGTGGTGGAGGATGAGGGCGATTGACTTATCTTTTAGGAATGGTTTTCTATGGAAAATGCATTCTATTTTTCTGTCGGTGATTTTTCTTTGGAAAAAATTGCATCATAGGTTTCTGTACTTTTGAAAAAAATCAGTATGGCCATCGTATTATTTTTTCTCTCAATATGGTCTTCTAACTTAAAAAATAAACTCAATATGATCATTTGAACAACGTTTTTCGTCGTTTAATCATTACGGTAATGACGTGGTAATTCACGGTATTGTTGTGTCAATCTATATGTAATGTATGAGTTACTAATTTAACTTATTGTCACGTTATCAACCACTATAGACTATCATGTCAACACCGTGGATCGTCATGCAAGCATTGTAACGGTTAACAACAAAAAACGTTGGTCAAAGGACCACATTGAACTTATTTTCTAAGTTGGAAGGCTCCATTAAGAGAAAAATAATACGAGAGTCACATTAATTTTTTTTAAAAATTACAAGGACCTTTGATTGTTTTTACTTTTTCTTTAAGAGAAAATTATGTAAATACAAATAAAGAAGTTCAATTTCAAATATTAAAAAAAGTACAAATACTGGGAACAAAATTTATCGCTTTTTTATAAATGTGGTACATGTATTTTTAATCATTTTGGTTTTTATATTTCTAATGTTACACATTTGGTACTTGAATTTTTCACTTTTACAATGTGATATATGTGATTTTTAATCAATTTAACATCTATATTTGTCAAACATTATGCATTTAGTACATGTATTTGTTATTTTTTAATAAAATGTATGTATTAAATTCAAGAAAAAAAATAGCAAGTTTTTATAGGAAAAACAAGAGCATGATCTAGGGGTACTTGATGAGTTGAGCAGCTCGTGAGCATATGATCAAACTAATATCAGAATGGATTACCACGTCAACATCGTGAATTGTCACATCAGTACCGTAACGGTCAACGACAAAAAATGTTGGTCAAAGGGTCACATTGGATTTGTTTTCTGAGTTGGAGGGCTACATTTAAAGAAAGAATATATAAGGGTCAATTAGTTTTTATCAAAAGTACAAGGACCTCTTATGTTTTTTGCCCAAATGTTTTGAAAGTAAAAGCAAGGTTAAATTTCAAGTACGTAAAGCGTTTAGGGATTGACAGTATAATTATACCTTATATGTAATAAGTATTGTTAAGTGGGCCAGTAATGGCGTATCCTGACTTTTCTCCTACGTTGAATGCATGGAATCTGACTTTTCTCAAAGCCAATTTTCCCATGGAAACTCAGAATAAAGACAAAATCATCTTATTTGCTTTGCCACAAACATCATCCTCCTTCTTCCTCCATGGCAGCGCCACCACCTCCACCTTCAAATATCGGCTTCCGAATCCAGGCGCATACTCAGAGCCCACACCTGGCACTTCCAAGCTCCCTCAGTCCTCTTCCTCCTCCCTTTCTCTTCTTCTTATCCATCTATCCTTTTATATATCAACAAAATCCCCCCATCTTCTTCTTCTTTCCGATTAAACCCTTCATCTCCATTCTCATTTACACCCTCATCCTCTCCCTCTTCTCTATCTTCGCAGTCGGTTCCATCACTCACAGCGTTTTCCACGGCTTTTATGGTCAACCCGTCAAGCTTCTATCCGCCATTAAAGCAGCTTCTACTTCCTTCTTCCCTCTCATCTCAACTGCCTTTGTAGAATCCCTCATCGTTTCTGGGATCAGTTTGGTTCTTGGTTTAGTATTTTTTGCTTTAGTCAAAACAACCCAAAATTTAGGCTTCAAAGTTCATCACTCTTCACCTTTCTTAATCCTCCTTTGTCTTGCTTATCTGATCATCCTCACGTCTATTTCACTTTATTTAAAAGTGAACTGGATTTTTGCTTATGTTATTGTCGTAGTTGAATCAAGCTGGGGACTTGAACCTTTAAAGCGAAGTCAAATTTTAGTTAAGGGAATGAAAGGGGTTGCTTTTAAGATTTTACTGTTTTTTGGCTTCTTCATTTCGATCAATATGTTGCAATCATTTATGGCATATGGTATTGCTAATTCAGGCTCAGCTGGTGATGAATGGAAAAATTGGGGCTTTATTTTGAATATTGTCGTCACTACCGCCTTCTACATGGTGCTTTTGCTTTATATTTTGGCTGCGTATACAGTTTTTTATGTATATTCCAAGGCTCGACATGGAGAGCTTGCTGAAGAATTTGCAGGAGAGTATGTATGTTTGCCTTTTGATGATGGGAAAGTTCCTCATGTTGCTTCAATCTTTTAAGCTTTATGAAAAAAAGAGAGGAGATTCTTGAGTTTTGTTTGTGTTCCGTTGTTGCTGTTTTGTTTACTGTTCTGTAAGAAAATTGTGTGATGATTCTCTTTGCATCTGTAAGAAAACTCCACATATACTGAAACATCTGCACATTTTTTTACCAGAAGTTTAGGAATGTTCAATAGTTAAGTACAATGAAGTGTTACAGCAAAGTACATATCGAAAACCATCTTCTTCCTTCTCGTCATCCCATATGCAAGTACCGAAAGACCGACTCTTCGATTCGTCGTAGCTAGTCTTGCCTCTGATGGAAATCAGTGTTGCCCTTTACAGCCATAAATCAAAGAATGAACTCTCATCCTGTTCAGGATCGAAAAGAACATTTGCTCCAGTTTGTTGATGATCTCTGTATAATTCTCGAAGGAACTCGATCACTATCTTCGCCGCCCGATGCTTCATACCCGTCACTAGTAGACCTCGACAAAGGAAATCCCTTGGGAGCAGCCATATTGACAGCAGGTAGAGCAGCCATATTGACAGCAGGTAAACCTGTTAGTCGTCTTGATTCTTCAGCTCCCGATGAGGAGACCCGAAATTGATGAATATCTGGCGAGTCTATACTGCGCTCGGGAGAAGAGGCAACGATCCCAGGATAGCTTGACATCGCTCGGCTGGTTTGGAAAGCGCTTCGTGCTTCCAGTTGAAGGTGCCAAGCTCGATGTGTCGTTGAAACCTTTGTCAGTAGCTTTAGAGGAAATGCTCGTTAAGGACTCCATGGGTAGGTCAGCTGGGAGACGAACCCGCTTGGATGCTCGCCTTCTGCTACCAGCTCCCGAGAACACTTGTCGGCCACTGCTTCCGAAGCTACTTTCTGCTTCTACCCCCGAAGGGGCTTCATGTCTCACTAGGGGCTGCAGGATTTTGGACTTTTTCCTAGCTTCAGCCGCAGCTTTCGAAACATCTTCTGCATTTAACCGTGCCAATGCCCATGGACTGATCTGAACCGCTCCCGGATTCTTCTTCTTAATAGGTTCCTCCCCTACCATTTTTTCCCCATATGAACTCACAGATCCAGTATCGGGAGGAACAATATCAAACTAGTCGAAGATACAAACAGCTCCCTGATTCAGTGATTCAGCTAAAAGTAAATTATTTTATATAGCATAAAATTCGATATCTATATTAATTCTTGACAAGGAACGGTCTGTTAAAATCACCTGATCTTCGAGGAAAAGCCGTGGAGGTGTACACCATGCACCCCTATGGAAAAGTCGAAAAGGAACTAGCACTACTTAATCCAGTAAGTGAGCTAGCCGGGGACATTTGCGGACTCTGGTGACCACCAACACCTTGTTGCTCTTGCTCCTGCTCTCGTAAAGCTATTATATAATCGTATGTGCTGATTCCCTGAAACACATTCAAGAACCATCAAATTAGCTTTATACTCATTAGGATTCGACTTACGAAGAATATAGAGTATCGAAACAAAGACATCCTTCACATAGTAAGGGGAAAAGGTCGAAAGACTTGCCTTTTTCACGAGTAGAATGTGAAAGAAGAAAAACTGTGCAATAGGTAACGTAGCAACCATAGCCAAAACAGTGCATAATGCCTGTAAAAGTAAGAAATTTTACTGCTTAGCTTAATGTTTTGAATTGAAATATGCTAATAGTTATAGATTCGTTTGATGAATCTCATGACGGCTAAAAATAATAAGAATTCAGAATCGGCATTGCATAGCATCGAACGATACCGGGGAATAAAGATTAACATTAATATTAACGCAACACTTACAACCACGATAATGAATAGAATCAAAGAGAAACTGCTTCCTAACTTTGTTGAAATATCCGCAGAAAACTGCTTCCGATCGATGGAACAGCATACGACTACAAGGATTCAGGTCGACCATTGTAGAATAAGCTGCAATCTCAAGTCCAATGTGGACAAATCATGTATAATACCTGTCAATATCAGTTAAAATGAAAATGGCTAGAAAATAAAAGGTTTACTCCGGGTTTTTTTCGTTTCTGGCAACTGAGGGATCACTCATGATGTCATGTGGCACAGGTATTATTCATGAATTTGGGCTTTGATACAAATGGTGAAGATGAGTAACAAGCTTACCAATAGAAGAGCAGAAGCCATCAGAGTGAAAAATTGTCGGTAGTTCCTTTGGCCGATGCCATTGTTGAGCCACTGAAAACCACAGGTGAACAAAAACAAGCATTAGCAGAATCATTGATGAAGTGGATAACGCATCCTGCAAATGAAGATCCCGCACTACCCTGCAATGATGATCAAAACGGTTGACACATTTGTCGCAGACTCTGCAGTTCTTGCTATATTTGAAAACCTGCCAAGAGTAATGAACTGAATAAACATAAACTAAAGCAATGTAATTATTCATCGGATAAAGGCCGAAAAGGAAATGATAGAATTTAGAAGATGCCAGATGCTTCTTTACCTCGACTTCACACAAACTGCAATAGAACATGCCATCTTCGCTCATCTGTTGTTCAGAAGATTCTCCGTTCTAGCTACAGCGTTTGCAGATAAAAGCGCAGGGAAAGAAAATCCACAGGAAACGAGATGATTGTTTCGACGAAGCCTTGTTTCTCTAGATTTCAACATTGCGGCATCCTTTTCCAGAGTTTTTCCTCCAGCTGAAGTAGTGGCGTCACCATGCAAGGACGCAGTTGAATCCCCACCTAGGCCGGAACACTTTCTATTTTCAGGAATTTTGAGATACTTTTTCGACTTGACAACTCCGGGATCCGCAGGATCAGCTGCCAAACACCAAATATATAGGCCGAAGCAACATGTAATCTAAAAGGAAAAAATAGTCACTAAAGTTCCAAGGTGATAAGGGCTGATCTTGCTATTACATACAGCATTACTTGTCGACAAGACTCGGGAAATGACTCAACATTGCATACTTAGACTGTATAGATAAGACCTGGGAAACGACTACACCATGAACACTTTCATGGAATTATAGGATTAGGTAGGACTTGCAGACAAGACTATAGAAATGACTAAACCATGCATACTTAACACCGAAATCGTTAGCTCCATGAATGCATAAATATGAGTTTTTCACAATTATTCTGAACTAAAACACATAGAATAAATCTTGAATTTTAACACAATAGAGGGATTAAAATCACAATTTCACCTTTCTAATTCTTGCACAAAATAAAGGTTGAAGTAAGTAGAAAAAATAATATATTAAGTTTTAATCTTTTTAAGTTAAATTATCAATATTATTAATATTTATATGTTATTTTAAGAAAAATACAATATAATGTTTTCATGTATTTAAGATTTTATTCGAGTTTGAGTTTCAAACTTTCAATCAAACTAAGTCTGAGAATGTATAATTTTTCCCCAGCTTGAGACAATCTTCAAATTTTGATTTAGAGTCTAGCTTGAAAATTTTAAGTTCTCAAGCTATCATGTTGAGTTTCAATTTTTTATTTCGAATTTGAATCGAACACGATAATTTTAAACTCGCGAGTTTCCGAATCGAATCGAACTCAGTTATGAATATTTTGAATCGAGTTGAACTAGACTCGAGTTGTTTACATCCCTAGCCTTATATCCCCAGAATAAAAATGCAGTGATGAAAAAACATCCGGGGTGTTTCGTAAGCATCCTTGGGCCTTGACTTCTTTACTCCAGCATGAACCACACCTTGTCGGATTTATAGCCTTCAATTGCCACACTTCCTCCCAGACTAGAACTCTGTCTTCTTTCATGTAATGCAGAACCGATAGACAAAGACCATCCAGAAAATTTTCTTTTGAAACCGATAAACGAGAAGCTGAAGAATAACAGTGCTAATATGTAGTCTTTTTCCCCCAGATTTTCTGCTATTTGAAGGCTTTTCATGTTTATTTGTGATAACCATCCCATTTTAAAATGAATTTATTGTAATGGGACACAAAGTCTTCAATGTTATAACTTCAGTCACTTTCTCAGCAGCCAAAAAGATTGAAAATTGGAAAGGAAAGGACCAAAGATGCTTAATAATATGATGATGTTATGATTAGAAGATGAATGTAGCCTCTCATGGTGGGATCAAGTTTTATTCATTCTCCAGCTCAAAAGTTGACAATGACAACCATTGTTCTAGAAGGCTTTGAAAAACTATGTAAATCCAACTAAAATTGAGAGTCTAGGAAAGAGAGGTTGCCCCTTGCTGTTAGATGAACATTACTGGGAATTTCCTGAGAAATCTGTGCTATAAATTAGAAAACTGAAACTCTGTTATTTAACATGATAAAGTTGTAATGATGTTCAAACACCCTGTGGTTGAAGCTTTCCGTTAGTCCAACCGTCGCAACAAGTATTCGACTTGAACTTCCTTCGTTAACGGCATGATCCAATCGCCGTAGAGATCGGCTACTAAACTTGGCTTGATCTTGTATACAGGATCTGAAAATGCTGCAACTCCGGTCAGCGGAAAGTTTAGCTCTTGACCGTATGCTCTAGCTTTTGTCTCCACTCTCTCTTTCACTGCTGCTTCTACTGTCTCGTACGTTAGTAACTCCATCAATCGAGACCTGTCCTGTTAGGTGCACATTCCAAAGGAAATGAAGGAAAATTGTTAATTGTGAATACGAAGTATCCCAAACAAGAAGGATGGTGTGGTAGAAATGTGAAAGAAACTTCACTTTTGCTCTGATGGCATCCTCGTACGCTGCAGGTGATGCTCGAAATTTCGCCTCTGCTACGAATTTTCCATAGTGAATTCTTTTTGAAAGAACCTGTGAAAAAGAGTGAAAAGGTTGAAAATATCCAAGGCTTCCAAAAGAAAATTCCTTTCAGCACGAATAGAGAAGGAGAAGCTTCCCTAAAACTATGATAGGAACAAAGTAAACAAAGGAGACTTATAATGAAAAATGAAGGAAATTCTGAATTATTCCACCCTCCACGATAGTAAAGAGAGAGGAGGTCAGAGAAGCTAAGAGATGATGAACGGAATGGCTTAAAGGTATACCTGCAAGCACATTGTGTCACATACAGCGGCAGAACCACAATTACCATCATCTCCGGTTTCAACTAATTTCGGTAGAAGCTCCGCAAAATACACATTCCAAACCTTATTGTTTATGTTAATTGAACCAGCACAGCGATGCAAAACCTAGTATCAAACGGAAGAAATGCCCAACAGTTAATGGATATGTCCATTAACACACACAGCCTTAACAATCAATAAGGTATCAAGATATTTAAAAGATCCAATGGCAGCTCATTATATTGAATCAATTGATAGTTTTTCAGGTATGGACTACTTTAACACTGTAATTCAATCTTAGGAAAACGTTATGAATGGATGTACTCTTTAAAATGATGATATCAGTCATGATTTCGTGAGGCACAAGATGCTGGCATTAGGACACGAAACATTGAACTCCAAATTTATTATAAAGTAGGACCACAAAGCCTAAATAATATAAAGTTGGATAATTGCTGAAGAAGAATTTATATGTTAGCATCTATAAATCTGACCTTTGGATATTGCAACGGTGGAAGCATTGGCTCCGGTAGATATGATGGGAAGAAAGGGTATTCATCGGGACTTTTATATCTGCCGACCTATTCGCATAGAAAAATAACCAGAATGTTATTCACATAAAGTAATCCATCCAGGCATTCACAGAACATCTTCTCCACATAAAAGAACACAACCTGAGCATGTAGCCTTTCGGTTTCCCGGACCATGAACTCGACCAAAGACAATGGCCCTTTAAATCCATCCATGGAGAATGCATCATGGTCATATGTGTCTGGATTATAGCTGTACTGAGCTCTCTCCAAAAGGCTAAATATTATGCTATCTTCTTGTCGAATTAAGGACCGTCTTATACTGTTGAGAGTAAGGTTTTCACTCTCATCCACCCTAGGCTTCTTCGAAAACCTGTATGGGAAAAAATATGCAAGCATATGCATTACAAGTAACCATGGTGATTGAAACAAAATTCGACTATCTTCGGCTAAATTTATCTCATTTTCCTCTGATTAATCATAAACTATAAAGTTTAGGATTTATTTTCCACTTAACAAAACTAAAGTAACTTTTTACTTGAAACTCAATCAAGCAAAAAATGCAACAAAAACGAATGAACAATCACAATTCACAAAGCTCTCCCTTGCTTGGCATATGTTAATCAATAAAACTCTGCTTGGAATTTTCCTAATCCAGACTTAAATGTAAAGCTTCAACAAAAAAGGGGGGGAAAGATGGAAACATTTTCGATCTAACAGTTATAAATTCACTTGCATGAACTATTCAATAAATTCCAGAACGAATGAACAAAATCAAATACCAAAGAAGAAGGAAAAAAATTACCTTTTTGATGGTAGTTCTTACCTTATGTTTGAAGAAGAATAAGAAGTTCCGATAGAGCGATAGACATTTGAGCCGAAACTCGATGCAGTGATTTTGAGAGCTTTTTTGGGCGTGAAAAGAGAAATGGGTCTTGTAGATTTTGCGGCATTTTGATTGAAAATGGAAGAAAACGGTAACTCAAGCAGCTTGGCCTCCATTGATGCGCACGAAAGAACAGTCTGATAAATCCCTCTCTCTTTTTTTTTTTTGGACAGCTTCACTCACTCGTTTATAACGAATGACTTCAGCTCAGTTTTTCAAGTGCGAACCTAGGAACCTTCTATTTATCTATTTATTAATTAATAGGTCAAATTACTATTTCCGTCCCTCTACTATTTTGGTTAACAAAACGGCTTCGTAGAAAACACCGTTTTTTCAGCTTCATAATTTAAGTCAATAATGACTTTTCAAATATGAATTTTTGACTGAAAATGAATTATTTAAGAAAGTTTCTGTGTTCCGAATAATTTTTTCTATCAAAAATGCTTTCATAAGTATTCTCAAGTGGCCCTTTAATCGTTATGAATATAAAAATGACTATTTTCTCATCAAATATTTAACATTATAACATTTTCAATAACTCAAATCCGAGTCGTTTATTCAAATTAAAACAACTCCGACCGATTGAATCAAGTACTTAATGACATTTTAAATTATTTCTGCATAAAAATAATATTAGAAAGAAAAAAAAAATATCTTCCTTGAGCTTGAATTTCTTTGCCATCAAATAACACTCTCCAAGCTTATTCTAAACCTAACCAAATCAAGTTTCACATTCGTTATTCAAGTACATGTCCATAATCTCTGTTGGCCACCCCTTCTTCTGAAGTGTCGAAGGATCTTTCAGCAGTACGCTATCTTTCCCATACTTCTCAATCATGCTACTTTCTTCAACCCTAATATACTCCAAGTACTTCGAGTTATCCCTTTAATTATTCTCCCGTAAAATGCATCCGTGCACCCCAGTCATCATGTGACTCGAATTCAACAATGCACATGCCTTATCAAGAGACATGTAACGGTTCGATTTGAATACGATGACGTTGAACCCTACTTCTTTCATCACTCGAATCGCTTCGTCTTGATTCAATATCCTTCGCGATGCACACGTCGTTGCCCCGGCATGTCAGAACGAGGTGGGGCCGACGTCTGGGTTTCGGGCCGAGGGGAGGAGAGGGGATAGGGTTTTGGCTATAGGCTTTTGCTAGGAGGTCCCGGAAATGCAGTAGTGTTTTAGACATTGAGACCAATGTTGGGTCTATGGTCATAAAGCCATGTGATATGAGGCCTAGTGTGGCTGAAGGGAAACAATGGGTGACGTTATCCATTTCGGGGGAAATAATCCGTTGCTTGCTAAGGACCTTAAGTAATTCTGCATACTTACTGTGCTACCAATCATGGTACTCGGATACGACGATGATGAAATCACGATCGGGGTAGATGGAATTGACGGTGATGAAGAGGGGGATGAATCCGTCATTGAAGGCATGGAATAAGTTTCCGGTATACCCTCCCACACTGAATACAATGGCCGGAGCCTCGTGTCGGATCGTGCATTTTGGGCTTGATGGGCCAGAGACTAGAGTAAGCTCTTTGATTTGGCCCATGATGTAATCCTCGTATTTTCTCGGGTATGGCTCGATTTTCTCCACGTGGACGGAACTGGTGGGGTCTGCTGTAAAGAATGTTCAGGATGCGGCGTCCAAGATAGTGGAGCCGTCGATCGTGCAGAGATCGTAGCGAATATAGGAACGGTTGCAGCTGATTAGGCTACTCAATGGGACCTCGACACCTGGAGGAAGTTAACGATTGTGCTGATTTGCCACGGTTTTAATTTCAACACGTGTATCTGTTGAAATTTAAAGAAAGGGAAAATAAGTATATATAAAAACAGAGTTAATTGCAAAAAATGCCCCTAAATTATGACCATCATTTCTAATTTGTCCTTAAACTCTAAAAAAATTCCATTTTCATCGTCAACTATGAATCTCATTCTAAATTGGTACTTAAATTTTTGAATATTCCAATTTAGTCCTCAAACTATGACTCTCATTCTAAATTGGTCCCCAAACTTTTGAATTTTCTAATTTTATCCCCCAAGCTCATCCAAATATGTAGGGGTAGATGCATTAAGCCCCCATAAGGGCCAAGTGCATCCCCATTATTTTAGAAAAATGGTTAAATTTAGTTTAATGTGTTAAGGGAAAAAAAATAAAATAATTTGCATACCATTATTTTTAAAAAAGAAAATTTAAATTTTAGACCCTTATTCTTAAATTTATGGATATGCCACTGCAAATATGTAATCAATTCCAATCATAGTTTAACCTAAATTTTATTTTCTCAAACATATAATAATATAATTTGACCTAACGATTTTATTAACGATGGATGTAATTAGTGTATACATATACTTTGAGATGAAATCAAAATGTTCAAAAAGTTTAGGAACCAATTTAGAATAAGATCATAGTTTGGGGATGGAAATGAAATGTTCAAAGTTTGAGAAAAAATTTAGTGATTGTCATATTATAGGGATGAAATTGGAATGCTTGCAAGTTTAGGGACTAATTTAAAATGAATGTCATAATTGAAGGATGCATGATGCAATTAACTCAATAAAATACCACAGATACAAATTTGTAGCCGTAGGGTATTAGTATTATTTATTAGTAATGTAATATTTTTTTTATTGGCTTAATATTTTTTTTAAATATAGTTATATACACATAAAATTCTTCTAAGAATAATTCTTTTAATAATAATAATAATATTCTTATTAGTAATTAATTAGTTTAATTGAACCCAACTAATTAAGCATACCACCAAACGAATCATATTAATGCAATGCAAAGATGTGATGAGGTCGAAGGGTATGGAAGCATTTATGATTGGTGGAATTTGAAATAAACCTCCAACATAAACGATTATTTTTTATAATTTGGGATAAGTATAAGACAACATCTGCTTAAATATCGATCAGATTAAACTTTATGTTTAAATTATGTGCTTGAATACTTTAAGACTTATTTCCTTGAGTTTAACAATTTGTTTCAATCTAAATATATCTTTGAACAAATTCAGAAATAGAATTGAGATTCATCTATGAAGAATAACGGTTACCTTGATTCTTCTTTAAAATGCACGTGGGGATGACCACAACGACGGCTTTACTGCTGTTGTGCCGTTGATCCTCGAGATCGACGACATACTCAGGCTCGTCGTATGAAACCACACCAACAACAAGCAAAAAAGAACCGTCGCAACGGCTGCTTTCGAGCTCCCACTTTTCTTTATTCGACTTCTAACTTAATCAAAATCTGAACGTAGACGAGTCTCGAACCAATATATATATGTGTGCTGAAGAAAACTGTACCCGACTATGTTGCTGGCTTCAGAGTCAGTGCTTGTGGAGGGCTTTGGTTTGCTGCAGAAATGAGCGAACGGTCGATGAAGTACTTTGGGTCTGCTGTTATTATTCTCGGGTTAGTCGAGTATTTTTCACTCTAAACTCGATTTTTTTATTAACCTGAGGTAAGTACAAGGTAGTATCTGTTTAAAGATAACTCTCATCATTTGGCATTAAATACTCAAACCCCTGATATTCTTAGTGTTTGAACCCGAACTCAACTTTATCCTTCAAAAAACATGACGATCCAAATTTGAATTTAAAAA